CTTATAGCTTTAAAAAATTGATATTATATAAAATTATATATTATACATTATATATTACACATATAAATATATATATTACTATTTTTTATATATCATATTTTATATACTTACATGTATAATTTGCATTTCTGTGGATATAAAGGAGATTTTGGGATTCTAAAAACTGCAGTTCCTACAAAGAAATGAAATTGATGTTGATTTTCTTTATTAAATTAAATAATTAAAGTTTTCTTTTTAATAACAAATTTATTTAAGACCTTAATTATTTATTTAAAAGTGAACTAAATTCTAATTTAAAAAGCGCTTTTCATATACATATATTTAGTTGAGTATAGTTTGAGTTGAAAGCGAAACCAAACTCTCTTTCCAAAACTGACAACCTATTTATGATTTGTATTTGTGAATAGTCAGGAGATATCCTAAAACTGGCGCAAAGCCCGCTATGCACTTGCCTATTCATCCAGATATACGGGCATTTAACCCCTACCTTTTATTTATAGAAATAATTGAAATTAAAATGAAAATAGTTGTTACTCTAATAACATCAATTCAGTCAATCAAATTTTGATACATTCAAAATGAATGATGATATGATGAAGCTAACTTATTATCACTATTATTTAAGCATATATACAAACTTAATATTAAAGCTCACTTATTGATCTTGATCAATAATATGAATACTTTAAGCACACGTGTCCTTATGCCTATTAACTGCAACTCAACAAGGCCATTATAACATGAATTATATGGGAAAATAGGTAATAAATGCTACTTTAACTAGCTATGAATTCTAAAATATTCATGGGGTGTTAAATATTTTATAGATACTCCAAGTTAATATGCACCAATGTAAATATGATTTACAAATTTGTAACAATCGAGAAAACCAATAAAACTCCCCTTGAGGCTGCACCACGAATTGAATAACCCTTGAAAATGTGGTTTGACTTGGGTTTGAGTTCGAGCTGTGGTATAACACATTCCCCGAAGGGTGAAATTACAAATATTTCTCGCACGACTTCAAATGGATAATGCGTAAATGCAATCATACAAAATATATTTTATTGAATTTCTTTTTCAGCAATTCAATTTAAATTCCAACATGAAAATTCATGTTTGTGGCTGTTTCGAATAGGATAACAGCGTAAATATTAAGATAAAAAAATTTAAAATAAAATACAAATATATTTGGATTTCTTGATATATGAGCAGGACTATCGAATGCTATAAAATTTTAGTTCTTCAAACAAATCTTTTTTATATGTGTGTGCGAGGTGAACAGAAAATAATTGATAACTTGGCTAAGTTTATTTTTAGGCCAAAAACAATACAGTAATTATGTCATGGACTTCAGACTCGCCAGCCTTAAAGGATACCTCTTTTATAACTTCACACAGCTCTGAACGAGCTAAAGGCTATATAAAGATAGAATAGCATAGATAGAAAAAATAATTAGAGAAAAAATGATAACACTATAGATATATAATTTTGGTTATACAAATAACAAATAGCCATTATAATATGGCCAGTATTCTCTTAATAACGTCATTATATTTTCTATTTATTTGATTTGTATTTTTATTCTATTTTTAGAAACTATTTTTAATCAATAATTGCAAGTCTATTTTATTGATTAAATAAATTTAATTTTGGGTGTAAATCTTTATATTTTTTAAATAATACAGTTTACATATACATATGTATATGATAAATCATATATTTTTAAATCAAAAATAAGTATTACACCCACTAAATATTTAATATCCGGCCTGAATCTAATTCTTTTATAGTTTTTAGTATGCAACTGCAACAGAGACTTCATATTCCTTGAGTAAATAATACACACACGCTCACAAAGTGAAGAGAGCATATTAGCCTTCAATGAAATGAAATGGTACAACATCTATGGCATACATGGAATTACTATATATTGTGTAACGCCAGTGCTATTATTTATTATTATTACTATTTATCTAAGCTTATCACCTCGAATTTCAGATAAATATGTATAACAGATTTAGATCTGGCACAATCACTTGATTTCTTATAATTGTTTCGCCCATTTAGGCGCAGCAAATCTATAAATATCGACAGCTAAATCAATTTATCTATAAACGAGTATACGCCTAACGATTATCACGCCTAACTAAAGTTTTTACCTTTCGCATAAATATTTACAATTCATCAAATATAACTACGCGCTCAGTATATAACAACATCTACACCTATTGCTCCATTAAAAAGAGTCAATCCAATGCACCGTAAAAGTCAATCCAATGCAAAATGATGAATTATTAAATAGTAATTGCAATATGGGATACGTACATTCAAATTGCTTTTATGCCATTTGTTTTCCTTGATAGCGAACGGTCCTCGTCGAGCGTAGCAAATGCATTGATGATGGTAACGAGATATTGGAATTGGACGGGTCTAATAATATTATTGTTTTTGTTGTTGTTGTTGTTGTTGCTGTTGATGTTGCTCTTGCTGTGGCTGTAGCGGCTGGACGTGATATCGATGGCGAATGCGACAAGGAAGATCTCATTTTGATATAAATGCTCAACAAGGGATTTGTTTTCTAACTATAAACCGTTATAACTCGGAAATTGCACAATTAAATGTTAAGTATAAAATGGGCTAAGAGTGTTCAACAAATGTGCCAATAAACGTAAACAATGAAAAGCAATTATAACAAGAGTGTTTCGGAGAGGCACGACAATGGCAAACAATCAAATTAAATGCTAAAAACAAGGCAAAGGACGAGCAACAGCTTCTGTTTCAGTCGCACTCGCCGGTTATATATGTGGTAAGGTATTAGTGATGGGTGTCTTTACAGTCACCAGCACCGATGGACGCGGACTCTGATTTCGTTAGGTGTTTTTGTTGTTGCTGTTGATATTTATTACGATTGTCTTTGAGAGCATTTTTTGTTGCGCGACGGACGTATTTTTTGTATTTAAATCACTGTGGTGCTGTGGCAGGAGTAGAGAATGTCTCGAGCAACTCCTCTGGCAACTCGCGGCCAGAGAGAACGCAATGAAAATCGTAATTTAAAGCATTTTTCATTTTCAGCTTCACATCCAAAGTAGAAGAAATATAAGTTGAAATCAACTAAAACATTATTCAGCACTTAACACTTGCTTAATGTATATGCCTTTCAGCTGCTTCGTTTTGTATTTTTTATTTATTTACTGGCGTTTTTGGTCTCTTTTTTGTGTATTTGTATTTATGTTGCCTCGGTCCTGCTGCTGCTGCCTGTGCTGCTGCTGCTTTTGTTGTTTGATTTCAATGGACGTTTAGTTGCTGGTTGGTTGGTTTTAAATTTGTAAATGTTTCAATCGCGTGCACATCATCGTCGGTTCACTATTATTAACAAATTGCATTCAATGGCAAAACAAAATATATATTTATTATTGAGGCAACTTTTGTTTGTTAGCCACTTTGAGGTTAGAACAACAGAGTTGTGTTGCGTCTGGGTATATTGCGAAATATCGATGTATCGATGTAACGCACAGACAAACATTCCGATAGTCTGGCAGCTCATTTTGGGAAACAGCAGTTTAAATTTACGATACTTTGCATATTTTATAGCACTGCGCTACTGCTTTACCAATAAAACAAGGGAATATTTAATTTTTCGCTATACATTCTATCCTAATACAAAAAGCATTCATATAAAAAAGGTTCAGTTCACCTTAATGTATGCAGCTACCTGTAATGTTCAGTAGAATTTTTTAAAACTAAATTAACTTCTTAAACATTTTCTACTCGATACCACTAACCATGGCTAATATCGATACTAAACGAATTAGCAGAATCTGTTATTGTTGTTCTTCATGTTTAGTTTGCTGTTAACGAAAGGCTGGCAAAACCACGCAAAAGTTGGAAAATAAACAGCTTCAGTAATAAAAAGGACATATAACCCAATCATATTAATTAATTTAAGCGCTGCAAAATGTCAGCTCATGATATAAAGTTGGAAGTATGTGTAGATTCAATAAAGTCAGCATTTGCGGCTGAAGAAGGCGGCGCGGCTCGCATTGAACTTTGTGCTGCCCTACAGGAGGGTGGCCTAACACCCACCATTGGAACTTTGAAGACTCTCAAGGAGTTACCATTTACTTTGCCCATACATTGCATGCTGCGCCCACGACGTGGCACCGATTTTGTCTACAGCGAGGAAGAGCTGCGAGCGGTACTAACCGACATGGAGTTACTGCGTGCCCATGGCGCTGATGGATTTGTCTTTGGAGCGCTAACTCCAGAGAGAACAATCGATGTGGACAAGTGTCGACGTGTAATGGAGCAGTCGTGTGGCCTGCCTGTAACCTTTCATCGTGCCTTCGATCTCACCGACCACAAATATATGCACGAGAATGTAGGATTGCTAAAAGAACTGGGCTTCAAACGTGTGCTTAGCAGTGGCTTTCGTGCATCCGCTGCCGAAGGCGTTGAAGCCTTAGCACAGTTAATAGCAAAGCATCACCGTGACATTATTATAATGCCAGGCGCCGGCATTAAGGTGTCCAATCTGGAAGAGATTCTAACATTCAGTCGTTGCTTAGAATTTCATGCGTCTGCCCTAGACACAGCCAGCGAAGATTACAGCGCACCGACGACCACGCGCATGGATTGCGATGTAACCATGGGAAAACAGGACATCGATCCGTACTATGGCACGAACGCCTACGTAGTGCGCAAAATGGTGGTAATTGCCAATGCGATGAGCTGTAGATAAAAGACAATTACATTTAAGTTAAATTAGTTTTTAAGTTAAGTAAGTCTTTAAAATGTACATACAGATATGTCGAATAGTTTAGTGAATAATCAAAAGTTGCCACAAACGTTATATATATAAAATCCAGATGTACTAAAACATTTTGAAATGGTAGTTATATTCAAATATCGATTAAGTACTATGTATTTATCGATGTGTATATATAATAGAGATCTCGATTTATTTCAGAAACATTTGAATTTTATTTTGATTTAGAACATCATATTTGGTTAACTTACAAAAAAAATTATTAAGCACGTAAATTAAAATCCGTTGAAGCTCACCAGTCCTCGTAATGGATACGATAGACGATTGTGCAACGCTCGTGGGCTTTGATCAGCAATTGGATTACGTGGAGCAAATGCTGCAAAAGGCCGACAAGTATAATAACAGACTTATAACCCAGATCGACAATCTAAAGAATCTCGTGCAAGCCAATCAAAAAATACTTCTAAATTTGCAATCAAATGAGGCGCATATGGAAGCTTTACTGGAAGACAGTCCGAAATCAGAGCAGCATGCTGCAATGATTAGTTATGCCCAACGTTTAAAAAGAAAGGTAACAAGTTAAGCCAGCTTGTATTTCTGTTGCAGAACATCCATATACATATCTTAAGTTACAATTCAAATTTTTGGCTACAAATACGGGATAAATATCGCATTTCTCTTCTTCAAATATCGTCGCCCATCTTTGAACAATTCCCCTGATTTAATGTTTCTATATACTACCTGAGTTATCCTTTATTATTTACCTAACATTTGACAACTCGGTCTACAGCTTCTCGTCACTGTATCCTTGTTAGATGAGCTTGAGGCTGAAGATACCCCCATTGACTGTAAGGAGGATCAAGACTCCGAGTCGAGTCTGTCGCAGCAAATGAATGGATTGGGCCCATCTCTGGCTTCCATTGGAAATGAGTTAAAGTCACTAAGCGAGGATAAACTGAATGAGATACGCGAAGCAAGTCTTCTGTCACAATCGTCTTGTAAGGGGTCCAGCAAAAAACGTCGTTGCTGGACCCATTGCAGGACCTTGAAACAGAATGATTTGCATGCTAAAGAGGTCATGGAGTTGCGTAAAGCAACTGAATTGTTGTTCCACGCCTTTAATCAATCAAACTCAGTGACTGTGGAGATCATATATCGGAATCACATTATGGAAAGAGGTATTTTTCTTATGATTCATTTGATGTTTTAAATACCATTCTTTTATATGTATACAGTTAAAAGCATGTTGGATAAAGTTGAGCGGTTAGATTTCAAATCCAAGGTACTTATTACAATCGAAATTCTGTCAAAAAAACTGCTGAGAGCCTTGATTAAACAAAAAGAATTACATCTTTCCAACGGTCTAACGAGAGCTTCAAATCAAATTTTCCCGGTATTAAATAAAAAATCAGAACTTGTGAAAATTTTAGTTGCTAAATAAATATATAAAACGTAATATATTTTATTTTCCAACGAAATCTGAAATAAATAGAATGTACAAATTTACATGTAATTGCGCCAAAATAAAAATCTAGTTTCGAAATAGTTTTCTTCGATTTCTCGTGAAGTGATGTAACTGATGATAGTCATAATAGTGAGCTATCGAATTGTAGGTAAACATTTTAAGTATCTCTCTTCTACACAATGAAGGAATGGTAAAAGTATTTTAATTTTTTTATACAATTTTTTATTCTAGAGAGACAAAAAATACTCTCCATTAAATCATAATAATTTTCGCACAAAATAAATTTGTACCATTAATTTTTTACAAATAGTTTCGTACAATTTAAAAATATGTTTGAATTTCGTACTCGCGTCATTTTACTACTTCTTATCCTTAGCTTGCAGTTTGGAGTTAATCATGTCCTTGAATTGTGTTAATATCTTATTCTCGCGCTTCTGTCGCTCCTCCTTGCTAAACATGGCCAGGGCACGCTTCTCATCCGCCGAATAAAGTTGATTTTCCTTACGAATACGCACAGCTTCCATGCGACGATGCCGACTGCCGCTCATCACGTAGCCCACCGATTCGAAATTGGCAATCTCGTCCGATGTCAGGCCGATTTCTCCGCGTCTTGGTATGCGCTTACCTTCCGCAATGTAAGCAGCCATTGCAGCACCTTCACCCGGAAGCAGAGCGCGCCCAAAGTCCTTTTGATTCAGGCTGCCGCCAGAGCGTAAGGAAGGACCCACGTCTTCCTCGTTCTTAGATCCACTCGCCTTTGACTTGGACTTTGATGAACTAGATGAAGTCTTTTTTTCGGACTCTGATTTCTTCTTTTTCTTTTTTTTCTTTTTGTTATTTTTACTTGAGCTCTTTTTGGATTTCTTTTTAGGCGGTTTTTTTATGCCATCCGCTGTCTTCTCTAGCCAAAGTTCCTCTCCATCCTCACTCTCAGAACTATCGTCATCATCGCTTGAGCTATCTTCGCTGCTGGAGCTTGACGAAGATGAGCTTGAGGAGGATGAGTCAGATGAGCTACTGGAACTGTCTTTCTTCTTTTTCTTCTTTTTGACTTTCTTTGCCTTCTTTTTCGACTTTTTAGATGATTTCTTATTTTTCTTTTTCTTCTTTTTGGGCCCCACATAGGAACCCTTGACCAATTCCACATCGTGGTTGCTTGACCGAGTCGGACTTGTGCCCCAAACTTCTGGCACGCCTTCTTCGCCAATGCGCACACGTTGCGCACGCCTCGCACTTAAAGCCTTTGAGTCCCTCGGATGACCGCCGCCTCGGTGTGAATAATTTTTCCTACTAGGCCGCTCAGCCGGATCATTTATGAAGCTACGTTCCGGTGCACGTCCTCGAAATGGATTGCTTTGCCTATCGTTGTTTTCGTGATAGCGGTCGTTGGGCCAACGCTCTACAGACTCCTTTCTCTGTTTTACAGGGCTTCGGCTACGGTCGCGATGGCGACTCCGACTACGTGAGGTCGAGCTGCTACCGCTACTAACACTGCTTCCTGTGCTGCTGCTACTGCTCTCAGTACTCAATGAACGATCTCGCGCGCTCTTTCGTCGTGGAGGCGAACCTCGTTGCCTCGAGCTGCGACGGTCTTGCCGCGTAGGAGACTTCTCAAACCCATTTTTATGCGGTCTATCTCGCTCTCTATTCTTAGATTCTGTCACCGGCTTGTAAGTTTCCCGCCTGTCGGTGCGCGTTCGTGATCTGTCGTAGTCGTGTCGATCTCTTCGTGGGCTCCGAGAGCGGCTTCTGGTGCGCGAGCGCATTTTTTTATTATTTAATGTTTAATTTTCTTTCACATGAAAATAAATCCCATGAAAACGTTTTGGCTTTATATGTTGATATCGTAATATATGCTAACAATCGAAATACGATATTTAGACATGCAGTTCGATAAGTAAACAAATAAAGCTGCAATTCATATTTTGTTCGGCCGTTAAGCACTAAATAACCATAACTGAATGAGTAGTAATATAATAGCTAATACATAAATTTAGAGTTTTTATTCAGCTTAAAAGAAAGTGAAACATTTCGACATATTGTTTACAATAAAATCTAGTTGAATATATCGATAGTGCAAAACACCTGAACAATAATGTGACTGTGGGACAAATGTTAAAGTGACCAGCAACGTTTACAGCTGAATGGTGAATACTGGACTTCTTCTTGCTGTGTAGTGTGACGTGTACGCGTAGCGAAAAATCAGTGATTTTTCTTTATACAATTTCACAATTAAATTTGTTTTTTTGACACGTTTCTAAAGTAAGCATCACAAGAATGGGTTCTTTTCGGCGCGAGAAGGATGAGGAGGAGGACGGTAAGTAACTGCCAAACAGCAAAATTGTACTAACAGCGACGCCGGAGCGCCAACAAAACATCAACTGCCAACTAATAATTGAAGAAGGTGCTCTGCTGGCAATCATAAAAACCGGAGCACAACAATATTAACACACCCATACTTACACAAATAGACACTAATAAACCCGAACAACACACTCTACACACAATTGCTTTCAAGTTCTAATAATATCTATTGCCTACTGCCGGTTCGACAAAAACATAAAATGAAATATTTTATTTCGAATTCGCGAAACAAACGGAATAATACAGGTCCCACGAATGCGTACCAAAATCTGGAGAAGACCTCAGTGCTGCAGGAAACGCGTACATTTAATGAGACTCCAGTAAATGCACGCAAATGCATCCACATTCTCACCAAGATCCTCTACCTGATTAATCAGGGCGAGCAGCTGGTAGCCAGAGAGGCAACTGACTGCTTCTTTGCCATGACCAAGCTGTTCCAGTCCAAAGATGTGGTGCTGCGCCGCATGGTCTATCTGGGCATCAAGGAGCTGAGCTCCATTGCCGAGGATGTGATCATTGTGACCAGCTCACTGACAAAGGACATGACCGGCAAAGAGGATCTATATCGTGCCGCTGCCATACGTGCCCTCTGTAGCATCACAGATCACACAATGCTGCAGGCCGTCGAACGCTACATGAAGCAATGCATTGTTGACAAAAATGCGGCGGTTTCTTGTGCCGCTTTGGTTAGCTCGCTGCGTCTGGCGAACACCGCCGGCGACGTTGTCAAACGCTGGGCAAACGAGGCTCAGGAAGCCCTAAACAGCGATAATATTATGGTACAGTATCATGCTCTGGGGCTGCTCTATCATATACGAAAATCGGATCGCCAGGCCGTCTCCAAGTTAGTTAACAAATTGACACGTGGATCGCTCAAGAGTCCCTACGCAGTGTGCATGCTGGTAAGTGGGAATCTTTTATATTAGGTTACCCGTATTAAAATACTTGTTTACAGATACGCATTGCTTGCAAATTGATCGAGGAGGAGGACATACCTGCAGAAGAGCTTGCCGACTCACCTTTGTACACCTTTATCGAGTCCTGTCTGCGCCACAAGAGCGAAATGGTCATCTATGAGGCGGCCCATGCCATTGTCAACATGAAGAACACAAATCCACGCATGCTCTCGCCGGCGTTCTCCATACTGCAACTGTTTTGCAGTTCGGTAAAGGCGACGCTTCGCTTTGCTGCCGTTCGTACCCTAAACAAGGTGGCCATGACTCATCCGGCCGCTGTAACCACATGCAATTTGGATTTGGAGGGTCTGATTACCGACTCAAATCGCTCGGTGGCTACGCTAGCCATTACTACTCTGTTGAAAACCGGCGCCGAATCCTCAGTGGAGCGTCTAATGAAGCAAATCTCAACATTTGTGGCGGAAATCTCCGATGAGTTCAAGGTGGTGGTGGTTCATGCCATTTGTGCCCTGTGCGCCAAATATCCACGTAAGCACACTGTGCTGATGAACTTCCTTAGTGGCATGCTGCGCGAAGAGGGCGGTCTGGAATACAAGACATCCATTGTGGACACCATTATAACAATCATCGAAGAGAATGTCGATGCCAAGGAGTCCGGTCTGTCGCATTTGTGCGAATTCATCGAAGATTGCGAGCACGTCTCGCTGGCCGTACGCATTCTGCATTTGCTTGGCAAAGAGGGACCATTTGCGGCCACGCCCTCCAAATACATACGCTTCATATACAATCGCGTTATTCTGGAGAGTCCGATTGTACGCGCCGCTGCAGTGACTGCTCTGGCTCAGTTTGGTGCTTCGTGTCCCGCCCTGTTGGCCAACATTTTGGTGCTGCTTGAACGCTGCCAGATGGATTTAGATGATGAAGTGCGCGATCGTGCCACATACTATCTAACTATACTTAACTCGGCCAAGCCGGAACTGTACAAGAACTACATAATCGAACGTGAGAACTGTTCGCTGGCGTTGCTGGAGAAGGCGTTGGCTGATCATCTGAATGGGGATCTGCAAAATCACTTCGACATTTCCATTGTGCCCAAGGCCGCGATCGTAAAGCCAGAGATCACCAATGATGTGATGATGGTAACAAGTGCACCGCGTGCACCGAAAATCACACGAGAGGAGGAGAGTGCCGCACGTCTGGCTCAGCTGCCGGGCATTCAGGTCCTTGGACCCATTCATCGCAGCACAGCACCTATACAATTAACCGAGAGCGAAACGGAGTATACGGTGCAGTGCATCAAGCACATCTTTGCTGAGTTTGTTGTATTACAATTTGATTGCCTTAATACGCTCGCCGAACAGTTTTTGGAGAATGTCCGTGTAGAACTGACGGTGCCGGAGGGCTTTTTAATACGTAAGATAGTGCCCTGTCCAAAATTGGCCTACAACGAATTGCAGACAACATTTGTAATTGTCGAATTTCCACGAGATGTTAGCAGTTCCATAGGTAAAATTAATCCCAGCATTTTTGTGATTCAATTGTAATTAATGTTGTGCTGTTTGCTATTTTCTTTTTGCAGCTACATTTGGCGCAACTTTACGCTTTGTAGTCAAAGATTGCGATCCTAATACTGGAGAGCCCGACTCGGATGAGGGCTACGATGATGAGTACATGTTGGAGGACTTAGACATCACAGTCGCCGACCAAATACAGAAAACGAAGAAGAATAATTTCCAAGTTGCATGGGATGCTGCCGATAGCGAAGGTCTGCTTGAATATACATATATATTGTTTATTACTGAGAGACTCAAATTTATTTGAATCATTCCCTATACAGAATGGCTGCAAGCCGAGGACACCTTTGTGCTCTCAGCTGTGAACAATTTGCAGGATGCCGTTAATACCATTATCAAATTACTGGGACTGGGCCCTGCAAATCTCTCCGAAAAAGTGCAGGAGGGCACGCATCTGCACACCGTACTCTGCTCGGGTATGCGATAGTCAATATTGAGTATTGCCTCTTTATATTAACTGTAATCCATCTCTTGCAGGAACCTTCCGTGGCGGCATCGAAGTGTTGGTGCGTGCCAAATTAGCTCTGTCCGAGGGCGTGACGTTAAATTTAACCGTGCGAAGCACAGATCAGGATGTGGCCGAGCTAATAACGGCAGCTATCGGATAAAATTGCGCACCATGCAGAGACCTAATCGTACAGCTGCGAACTCTGCATATATTATGATTATGAAACATATATTAAAAGCAAAGTTAATTGTAATCAAAAAATATATAATGTTATAGCTTTAAGCGAGCGCCCTCCCTAAGACAATGTCAACTCATCCAATATTTGCTTGCACGAGCAGAAATTGGCCACAGTTCGGGATTGTTCTCAAGCCACAAAATAATTGCATCATTTTTTTGGGCATTTGTTGTGTGAGTTTCCCAAAAGCATAAACTCATCAAATCAATTTATATTTGTATTTGTTTATTAATGATTTAACCTATGCGTTTTTAGCTTAAGTATTCCAAAACTTAAATACATTAAAATATACGCAATAATAACTAAGGAATGGAGTAAACGAAACAAGACAAACTATTGTTTTTTCTTATCTATACAAAGAGTTGAATACTATATAGGGACTATGTATCTGTATGGATATTACGAACCGATCTTTATATAGAGATCAGTAAAATCACTGAAGATTACAAGGGCTATACAAATATATATTAAAGCTTCAGTTGAACTTTTGAGAGATTGTAGTTAGAAATGGCTGATGGGTTGATGGTAAGGCTAGGGTAGATATGCCAGGGGAATTGGTCAGTGGAATTTATTCAATTATATTTATTGAGAATCTGATTCTCCCTTTTCCATAGTAAAAAGCATTCAAGTTTTCAACCTATTTTGTATGTATTTTTTTGTTTTTTATTTAATTATAAATAACTTAAGTTGCAATTTATACAATTTTTCATTCTGAATTCACGCGTTAACTCTTAATACTTAAATTATTTCTGTTTTGCTGCATTCACTTAATAATTTCTTGTGCTTTCCTATGTTTTTATTTTGTTTGATTTTTTTGTATTATGCTTGATTTTATTTTTAAATTTATATATAGAGATATCTGTTCTTTTTTTTTTTTTTTTTGTTCTCAATCGATTTCACTCGCATTTCTTTCAGTTTCTCTGTCTCGATCTTTAATAATTTGTTAACACAATTTCTCTTCAATTCAATCGATACGTCAATTACTCTTTCGCTTATCATACATATTCAATATTTTTGTTATATTTTCTTTCTGATTTTTGTTTAAAAGTTGATGCAAAATTGACGCAAGAGTAGAAAAAAAAACACCACACGAAAGACTTTTCAAACTCTTCAAAATTTGCTGTACGTTACGATTTGAATGCTCATTGTCAGATCGGTAATTAGTTTTAAAGATATCTTTATATATATATACACACATATATATATATAAATATATATATACAGTTGTATCGCCTTGGCATGCATATTCCACAAACTTAAAACTCTAATAATTCGAAAACAAATTGTAAAATCAATTGCCTGGTCTTATCTGGCCCTTTTTGTTCAGCTTAACACATTAACGTATTTTCTTTTTCTCCTTTTTTTTTTATAATTTTTCGTTGTTTTTTTTTTTTTTTTTAATACACACTGGAGTATATTGATATTTGCTTTTCGTTATCATCTATACAAATTTCGACGGTATCATTCGCCTTTTTTCAGTGTGAATTTCAATTCATTTCTTGTTTCATTTTTTTTTTCATTTCCGTTATGCTTATCTCACTTTCTAGGCAGACAATGCCTCGACTCACATGCCATGCAGATATACATTTATATATATATATACTTATATATATATATATGTATATGTATACATATATATACATATATTTGTATATATGCATACTAGGCTATACTATATTACAAATTAGCATACATATATTGTTTTATGTTCTTCTTAAGGTTTGATTTCTCTTCTCGCTTCTTGTTTTTTGTTTTGTAAGGATGCGCGCATTGAGCCTGGCCGAAGCAAAAATTCACAACACGGCTTCGGCCACATATATAGATATAGGTATATATATATATATATATACATATATGTATATACATAAAGTGAGTTGTCGCATTTAAATTGATGGTTTCGTTGGGGACCTTTGACTATTGTGAGCGCATATATTGTGTATGATGTATGTGAATAGCCTAAACTGCTTAAAATCTACAATTAAAATAGTTAATGCTTGGATATATTTATACAGAGTGAATGAGTGCTAGCTGGTGGTGGTTGTTGATTTTGTGGTTATCATCGTTGTTGCAGTTGATTGGTGGCTCTTCAGCATTTGAACTTGACCATGGGTATATGCTTGGAAGACACACACTTGTCACAGCACCACTCGGCAAACACCTCCTTATTGAGCATTTGAAAGGCCGCCTCGGTTAGACCCACGCAGGTTCTGAAGAATTGAAAACATATGTATAAATAGAGATAAGCCTTCAATCGGTGGTTCGACGAGGTTGAAACCTCTGCTTACCTGTGAAAAAAGAAATTACAACCGGATTCACAGAAGACTGCCTCATCGTTGTCGTTGACCTCCTTATGACACATGCCACAAGGATAGATGGGCGGCGCATTAGGATTCTGCGGATTGAAGACCATTGGCTGACCCGGTGGATACATTTTGCCACCGCTCATTGTCATGGGTTTGCCCATAGGACCGCCCATGTTGCCCATGGGACCACCCATTGGGCCGGGACCCATATTGCCCATGGGACCCGGACCCATAGGCCCACCGCCACCGCCGCCAAACATGTTGGGCCCACCCATGGGACTGTGCCCGTGACCGTGATGATGTGGGTGTGTGTGTGCATGGTGAGGTGGCATTCCGTGATGCGGTGGTGGGCCATTCATGCCGCCCGGACCTGGACCCGGTCCCGGCACACCACCCATATGACCATGACCCATATGTGGCCCAGCATTGCCGTGTGGTCCCATCATATGCGGATTACCGCCACCGCCGCCGCCCATGTGAGGTGGCATACCACCTGGACCTCCTGGACCATGCATGCCCGGGCCCGGTCCCATCATATGGTGAGGCGGTGGACCGCCTGGATGCGAATGATGCGGGTGCGGATGATTCATAAGTTGCGGGTGCGGTGGTCCGCCGAGATGCGGTGGTTGTTGTGGCGGCAGCATTTGATTCATGCCCATGCCCATGGGACCTCCAGGTCCGTGTCCACCGGGTCCGCCTGGCTGGCCAACCATATGGACACCCATGGGACCATGTTGCTGCTGCTGCTGCTGTTGTTGTTGTTGCTGCTGCTGTTGTTGATGTTGTTGTTGCTGCTGCTGTTGTTGTTGCTGCTGCTGCATAGGAACATTTGGGTTCATTTGCTGGCCCATCATGGGTCCATTATTGTTGTTCATGTTGTTGTTGTTGCCCGCCGGCGACTGTAACGGACTGGGCCCCGCATTTGGCATACCCGGACTGGGACCGGCACTGTTTAACGCATGATGCGGTGACATGGCGGGCGGCGCTGGTGAGGACGTAGGCACTGATGTGGTCGCTGTTACCGCTGTGGACGTCGTCGTCGCTGTGGATGCTGATGAAGCAGAAGATGACGCTGACGACACTGGCATTGGACCATTCGATTGCATTGTTTGATTGGGCACTCCGCCCAAACGTCCACCTGCCGCCGCTGGCGACAGATGTGGATGAGGATTTTGATTGTTGTTGCTGTTGGGATTGTTGCTGCCATTGTTGCTGTTGTTATTATTACTATTGCTGTTGTTGTTCGCTGCATTGCCGCCCATCATGTTGCCGCTGTTGTTGTTGTTGTTGCTGTTGTTGCTATTCGCCGGCGACATGCCACCAGGTCCGACTAAACCGCCCGGCCCAGGACCTGGCCCTGGACCTGGTCCACCGGACATATGACTGTGATTCGTTGGTCCATTGCCCAGTGGACTGTGCAGAGGCGGCGGACCCATTTGTCCATTGTTCATGTGCGTCTGTTGCGGGTTTTGTGGTTGCTGTTGTTGTTGTTGTTGTCCAGGCTGTTGTTGACCACCCGGGCCGGGTCCAGGACCAGGTCCAGGTCCGGGACCCAGCGGACTGCCAATTTGATTGCCCATAGGCGAACCCATTGGCAACGAGTTCATAGGAGAGTTTTGCCCGGGCATCGGTCCTCCGGCGCCACCCATGGGTGATCCTTGCATTGCACGCGGATTCGGTCCATTGGGACCTCCCATGGGCGACAATCCACCCATACCCATATGATGTGGGGATATGCTTGGTCCACCCATGCTGCCCATTGGACTCATTCCGCCCATGCCGGCCATTGCACCCATTGGACTGCCCATGGGAACTCCGCCGCCTCGCCCGTGGTTCATGTGTGGCGGTAGTCCAACGCCAGGTCCCATGCCATGCGGATGCGGATGCACGCCAGGTCCTAATGGGCTCATTCCACGCATGGGTGGTGGCCCACCCATATGATGCGGTCCGTGCGGCCCATGGCCCATGGGGCCACCGCCAGCACCAGGATGATGCGGATGCATATGAGGATGCATGCCCATACCCATGCGCTCCTCCCAATGCGGATGTGGTCCAAAGTGTCCACCCGGACCGCCAGCGCCGCCCATTTGATTCATAGCCGCCATGGCAGCGGCTGCCGAGCTCGACATGGCCGATACCTGGGGGCTATCATCGAATGGATTGGACGCGACGATCGTATCACCAAAGCCGCCCATTGGCGGCGGTGGTAACAAATCCTGAGGTGTTGGCGGTGCCGATTGCTGCTGTTGCATTGAATTGGCAGCGGCAGCCGCCGCAGCTGCTGCTGCTGCCGCAGCGGCTGCCGCCGAATTGGCCGCATTCGATGTTTTCCGCCGTTTCTTCGGATTACTCGGCGCCGAGATAATATCCGTCGGGGGCGGAGGCTTAAAATCGGGCGGACAGAGGCCGCCCGCTGGACCCGGCAAACGATATGGCGCCATACCGATATTGTGGGTCATATTCGAAGTGTTTTTCTTCCGAATGGTGGCAGCTTTTCTTGAACAACGGGGCGAACGAAATATCTAGTTAATGGCGTCGTCGATCCGTGGGATCACGACGCGTCTATCAAAAGGCAGATTTTTGCCTGACAATTGTTGTCCTCGCTGATTGCTGAACAGGGCTGCCAACCTGTGTACCAAAACCAAAGAAAAAATAAACAAGGAACTCGTTGAATCTAGTATTGTTACTTACTTAATAGGCTGCGGCAATTTACCAACGAAATTCCAAAAGAAGGTCGATCCGTGTTGTGATGATAGAAGCCGCCAGAAATGCTACTACCTTGGTTATTTCAGAGCTGGCAACTCTACGCGCGCATGTCGTCAGCGTTGGCAGCGTCTGAGCAGCGAAGCGCCAAGCAGCCGCAGCAGCAGCACCTGCAGCACGAATAACACAATGAACTGCACGTTGCAATAATTGAGCGTTTCGTATTATTTTGATGTGATATGATTAATTGATTTTGATCGGAGCACTCCGTAGCGGTTGATTATCTTGACTCTGCTTTGGCTTGCTTTTTTTTTTTATTTCAATTTTCTCACTTGGCGGCTCTTCTTCTTGCCACCGATTTTATGTTCTTTTTGCACCACCACCGCAAAGCAGCGGCAGCAAATTTGCTGCAATTTTTTTTTTATTAATTACACTGGAAATGGTGAGCGCATTTTTATGAGGGTTTGCACGTTTCAAATTTTCTAGCATGCAGTATTATTCGCGCACGCAAATTTCTATCGTAGTTTTTGGTTTTTTGTTGATGGCCGCGGTGCCTGGCTATATTTTTATGTGTAAATTGGTTGCTGCGTAACCATTTAAACACAAGTAACACATATTTTTTGCTTTTTGAATACCACACTTTGTCATTTATGCATCGATGCGTTCAAAATTAGAACGTAACTACAATATTTTGATGATTTTCGTATGCAAAGCGTCGTGGATTCTAAAATATAAATAATTTTCCTCGCCTGTCAGCCAAGGTGACCGTACTCTGACAACATGCTAATACCAAAATTCCATTCTTCGCTTGTGCCTAAGGTGACCATTGCTTTACCCGTATATGCATATCGATAGTGTATTTATTTTACATCGAAGAGCAAATTTATAACAATTTAATAAAGCTTATGTTGATATCTACGCTAAATTACAGATTAAAATTCTTAATAAATTGATGATTATTGATTAAATATATATCACATATAACACGAATAAATTACCAACTTTTGAATACCTAACGGAGATATCGATATACAATTATGAACTGATATCGACTCTCGTCACTATTGGCATAAGAGTGACGCGTAAATTTTTGGCGCTGGTGGGTTTAAAATTTTTTTTAGCGAACAAAACATTTAGTGCAAAACAATGTGGAGCAATTTTGAGGCATCTACAGTAGAGGATGAAACCATCTCGAATGCGTTCTCCTCGCGCAGTATATTTAAAATAAGCAGCGAGGATGAGGTAAATTCATTTGATATTTAAAAAAAAAAAAGTAAATAAATAAAGCTATGATTGTTTGGTTAGGTTTCAAAATATCCTGCGATTCAGGCTGCTGTGCAAAGTGGCAAAATGGTGATTTCCATAGATAAGAGTCTGCTATTGCTAGAAGATGAGCTGATAGCCAAGTGCAGCTTTCTAAGTTTTGGCGCTAACATCGATGCGATTGCCATATCCAATAGCGGGAATCTTATTGTTTGTGGACTCACTGACGGCGAAGTGCACGGCGTCTACATAAAGGGCTTGTTGCTATTTAGTGTGTGCATCAAAGTGGAAGATACTAGTCTCAGCAGCGGAACCTTTACGAGCATACAGCAATTGGGATCGCACTTTTACTTCACATGCAAGAATGGCAGCGTCTACTGGTGAGTGAAACCCCCCAAAAATTGAAGACTTCTTCGCTCAACCAGGTGTTCCATTTCAGTCTCAGCGAAATAAATGAAACTCATTTAGAGTCTCTAGCCAATGTCACGGTGAACGATAATGAGAATATGGCAGCACTTCTAGACGATGTCACTATTGAGCGCACATCCTCTGGTAGAGCTGCTAACAGCGTCGATAGTGCGCTCCTGCTCAAGATGCCAACCACCCATGGTTATGCGATCAACAATCAGGAAGCACCGCGGGCAGATCACGATTTGATAATAAATGGCGCACAGGATTCTTTAAATTTTAAGACCGTTTCGAATGATGTGACACGCATCGGTTTATCCGCGCATTTGGGCAGAATCAAAAGTATTTACAACATGGACATCTATGTGTAGGTTTAAGCTATATGTATTGTTTATTGGATTGACTTATGTCCCGCTCATCCGCTTACAGACTTGCATTGACAGAATCCGGTCACCTCTTGGAGATTTGTCCATTTACACGCACCTTGAGTTTGTGCCAATCGGCAATGAAGCGCTCGCTGCTCATCGAGGATTTGCTGGTCATGGAATCCAGTGAGGAGCATGTGGAGCTCTTGATACTTACCAAGCCCACAGCTGATGGAGAGCGTTTCATAAAAATAGTCGAATATCCTTGTAAGACTTTTTTGTTTTACTTTAATGAATTCTAATTCTCATTATGGTTTGATTTTTAAAGCGTTCAAATGCAAAAACGAGATCGAAGTGCCGCTGCATGCGTGGCTTATACGGCAACCCAAGAGCGCCGTCAATTTGTATTATTTGGCGGCCCGGGCAGGTAAAGAAAACGAAATTCCATCAGAGGTGGAGATGATGATGGTTTCCGAGACAGATCCCAGTGATCGCTTAAAGAAACTGATAGCCAAAGGACGCCTGGATGAGGCAGAGGTAAATTTAATTTCATTTAGATGAATTGAAGGAGATAATTTATTGCATTTCCTTTTAGGATTTTGGCATACAATTCGAGCTGTGCCTGCAGCCCATCTATGAGGCCAGAGCCAAACGTGTTTTGGTCGAGCTATGCAATGCCAACACAAACAGAATGCAGCCCGAAGAGCTGGAGGAAAAATTTCAGATGCTGCTCAATCTGCTGGGTCAGATCGAGAGCAAAGAGTTTATCAAAAATAATCGCATGATCAATTTAAGCTCACGTCAAATTCTGGAGCGTTACCTAAAAGAGATACACAAGAGATTGGATTTTGAGGTGAATAGTCAAGGAATATTTCTGTAGATCTGCATATTTACAATATATTCGTATACAGGATGATGAGCAGCATATGCTGGAAATAGATGAGCAGCTACATCGTCTTAAAACGCTGGCTATCATCGATCCCTACGAGTGCAACACTGAGTGGCAAAAGTTTGTGTACAACACGAATCTGGTAAAGGTGATCAAGGGTATGTTTAGCACCGATATGCCCACCGCTTGCCTCATCTGGCGTCGTCATTCGAGCAGCGTTTTGCCACATCTAAGTGAGGATGAATTGCGCACGCTACTGGGCTTCATACCCAGCACCACAGAGCCGCTGAACGTGGTGCAGTGGCTTCGTCAATTCGTGCCAATAGTCAGCAATACACATCCCAAAATTATGCCATTCATAACGGACTGGAGCATTGAGATGACGCGCAAACTGCAATATAGCGAGCATTGGCCGGACATTGGTCTGGAGTTTGCCAGCAATATACTGGAAATATTTGAAGAAGTTAAATTTATTTACTCGTGGGTTACTGTCGGATAAGGTATTGCTGCAATTATTAATTAAAATTTACATCATTTTTACAGCGATGTTGGTCGACAGCAGGAGCGTAATGTTGGCAAGCTGCGTGATCTAGTCAATGCTCTGCAAGATTTGTCGGTACTAAAGAAAATCTACAAGCTAAGCTTTACGCTGGACAACTATATGGAGGACTCCTTAGATGGGATTGCATTGCGCATACTCCAGCGCGTGCATTTAGATAATTTACAGAGTCTGGTCAAGGACTTTCTGTATCCCATCTATCAGGAGAAAGGTCGCCAGCCATTGAATGCCATCAAACAGTATATTGGCCAATTGGTGGCCAATCGTCAATCGCTAAGCAATTGGATAGATCGTGCAATGGCTTGCGTCGAGTTGCTGCACAATGAGGATAGTCGTTTGGAGAGCGCTCTCTCGATACTGCAGAACGCGCCCGTGCCTTGGCCCGAATCGCTGGCACCTCTCATCAAGCTGCGCAATTCGACGCATCCGTTGAGCATTAAGATCAATGCCGAATATGAGATTCAGGTGATAAAGATCATGAAGGTGAAGTATGGCTGGCCAGCGGACAGTGCTGTTAACATCAATCTGGAGTTGTTTATGATGCGCATTGTCAAGCTAAATTTACCGGACATGCTGCAGGATATCCACACGCTGACCAAAGCAGCGCCAGTGATATCCACGAGCGCCAATTTCAATTGTTGCTATCAGATGGCTCGACGTGGTCAAATCGAAATGGCCTATGAGTTCTTCAAGTCGTTAAACACAAAAAGCAATGATAATAAATGCGGCAATGTGGTTGAAATCCTGACCAATATGCTCGAAATGAGCTCCGGTTCTTTTGTGAACGAAGCGAAGGTACAGGAGCATATTAATCTGTTAGAGCTCTTCAAGCTTATGCTGCCCCATGTGGATCCAGTTTACACGCAGCGCTATTTGCTCATTAAGCATTGCTTCCAGCTGCGCCAAAAGTTCAATTTGCAGCTGCAGAGCAGCAGTGAATTGATACCGATGCACAAGCGCCTGGAGCTGCTCAATAAGGGCATCGAGCTGATCATGTCACGAGCTCAGGCCACATTGAATGTTTGCGCCTTTATAGTCAACGAAATGAGTGAACTATGCGCCGCACTCAATTTGCAAAAGGTTCAGGGACTGTTGTGCATTAGCCAGCGCATGAACTGCCTGCCACTCAGCTGTGCGCTCGCTCATCACATTCTGGAGTTTATCGACTGTGTGCCAGCGAACAGCAACGACTTTATTAACTTTGCCATTGAGCTGCTGGCGCAGCAAATTTGCGAAGCCAAAAGCAATGGGCATGGTAAGTCTATGCATGAATGTATGCCAATTGACCTCATTTAATTGACTTCCCTTTTCTTAACAGATACGCACTCATCGTTGCAGCAGCTTAATGAAACTGATCCCCTGTGCTTTCCGCTGGCCTACGAGCTGCTGACCGAGGCCATGTTGCACGAGCACCGTCGTCAGCGCGATCTCAACGAGCTGATTAAGTATGTGCGCGTTGCCGTCATACACTATCCAATGGATGCCATTGAGACGCACTATTTGGGCAAGGAGCAGAAAATTAATGATCAAATCTGTCGCGCATTGGATGGATCTCCCATTGCTTTGGGCGATACAACACTCAATTTCTCTATGGCACTAAATAACTCCATAGATGTGAAGCCCAACGTGGAGTCGACTTCCAAGAAACGTTACTCCGTCTCCATGTTCGAGGAGATCGATGTGCAGCCACAGCAGCAACCCCAAAAGAAGGTGACATCATCTCAGCTAAAATTCATTCAAAATCATTTTATTACCTATATAATGTCTTTATAGAAACGGATTAGTGGCAGTCTGCCCATTGTCAAGTTTTTGGCTCGTACACTGCTGCTCATGATCATTGAGACGGATTCAAATAACTCGTTGATGCAGCAGCTGCAGCAACTACTGCCGGAAAATGTTAGAAACGATATTGATGGAGCACGCGCTGATTTCTTCTTGTCGCTGGAGCATTTGACCAAAGCCAAGGAGCATGATGTTTGGTACATTATGTCCCAATATTTGCTGGATTATCAAAAACAAAATCACAGCAAAAAGATCATTAATGAGGGCTTCATTACCCTCCAATTGCGACGCATTCTACGCAATGCGATGAACAACAAGGATGCGAATCTGATTGGTAAAAGTCTTTAGCTGATTATTCCAATTCCTGATCTAATATCATTAATCCTTTTTAGAGCTCTTCACCATGCTGACCGCTGACACCGAGTCGCGTGCCTTGCTGGATAAGCTGTCCATGGATATAAAAACGGATCAGCAAAGAATACATTTCCTGACACTTTCGGCCATGTACCATG